GAAGGCTCCTTTTCACCCTCCCTTTTAAACTATCTGTGGGGTGGGATGATGTCTTTTCGGTACCAAGCTGCTTGTCTGGTCTCTGCTTGAAGAGTTGCCCTGAGAACTACAAGAAGCAGTGAGACAAAGCTGGAGTTGTAAATTGTAAGAGATGATCGAACACAAGAGAGTCCCCTCCCTTGCTTTAGCTTCCCTAATTGCTTTTTTGAGCTAGGAACACCTAAGGGCTAATGGCCTCCTTGTTTTGGCTACTGTACTTTGTAATAGCTTTGGTTCCTGAGAATTGATTGTTAGCTCTTCATAGAAGAATAACCTCAAATTCAGCACTTCTGTATTTAAATTCAGATTTTTTTTTGAGCTTGCTCAAAACACTAACCCTGCCTCTTAATCCGTGCTTTTCCCTCCCCTCCCCTTTTGGGTTGAGGATGGGAAGAGTATACTGCAGGTAAAGCATCAACCTGAAGCCTTGGTGGTTGATAATACATACACTTCTCTGACACTCCAGTTAGCACACTGTGTGTGAAAGGAGTTACCAGACCACCCTTCATATTCCCGAGAGCTAGTGTCCTTTTCTTTTTAATCACTGCTGGAGAAGTGAACAAGAGTGGCTTAGTTTGGATCACTCAGTAAAACCACAAATCCAAGCTTTCCTCCAGCTCCTTCTCCCCGGCCTCCAAATACAGTCCTTTCCCTTGCGTGTGTATGTGGTGATAAAGTCCATACCTCCCAAGTCCTGATCTAGCTTATTCAGGCAGTTGTACCTCCTTCCTCTTCCCTCATCACCCCCACTTGTATACCTCTAACTCCTAGGCAGCAAACAGCATTGACCTCTCTTGCTTTGTTGTAATGCTCTTCAACTTCGTATTAGAACAACCACTAACAAATAGTAAAATACTAAACTTACCAGTGCAACTTGATGGCTAAACTGAAATTCTTTCAATATGGGATACCACCTTGAATTACAAAGTGGTAAAAGAATCGAGTTTTTTAACTATAGCTTTTGAAAGCTGCAAAACATCTGATGGCATGAGTGGACCACAACCTTAACAACAAGAAGAAGCCTTCCCTTGAAATCTTGATACTTCAGACCATTTTAATACTACTTAAGCTAATTTTTAAAATGTTCATTATGGGGTGAAAATTAGTAAAGATGTGGCATAGTTTCACAGTTTCTTCAAAGGCTGATTTAACTTAATCTTAAATCCGTCATTCATTGTGGGAGCTAAAACACACAAGGGCCAGATTATAGCATAGCTCAAATGAAATCAATAGAACTATGTTGACTTACACCAGTTGAAGATATGGTCCTGAACATGCTGTCTTTCAAGTGTCTCAAGGAAAACCTGTTTCTCATCATCTACTGGACTGATGCTCACTGACTATCTTTTATAGCACTGATGATACTGAGTAACTTTGCCACATCCGATGGCCACAGTAGCAAACACTTAACTTGGATATGAAACTACCCTTATATATGTTTACCTTGTTTTTATAATTGCCATGATTAACATTGTGAAAGAGAAAATATGAGTTGCATTTGTTCCTATCTTTTATAATAAAGATTTTTTTAAAAGAGTACATGGAATTGAAGTCTGCTCTTGTAGAGGGTTTTACCACCTTTTGTACAAACATGATCAAAACCAATCTGCGGAAACACCTTTTCTGTTCTGTAAGTCTCTTGTGGAGACATTCAAAAGTGAGTATGGAGGCTTCATTTTATCTTTTGTGACAGTAAAATCTTGAGTTCCCATCTGAGATCTGGGCCACACTGTGCTCAGAGTCCCTGTCCCAAAGAGCTTACACCATAATCAAAGATTTGGAGAGAGAAAACTATAGCCATATTTTACACATTGAGGAAATTGATTAAGCAACTTGCCCAAGGTCACACAGGAAAATATTGGCAGGGATGGGAATGAAAATCAGATCTCCTGTGTCCCAGTCACAGCCTTAACTGTGACCATCCTCTTGAATTTTGAACAAAGCTTTTTCTAATCCACTTGAGTGCTCTGAGAAATGTCCTTTTGCAGTGGTTTTTGTAACTCTACCCTCAGCACTGCTCCATGTTTTCCAGCATTGATCCCTATGCCTACTTATTAATTCATGTCATGACTTGTGAAAGATTAACATGACACCAAGCTCCCCTTCTAAAACAAAGCCCACATGCCCTGACCCTAGACACTTAATGAAGCACTGCAGCTGTAACAACATTAGTGTAGTCAATTACCAGCACCAAACTCTTACTATGCTATGACAGAACTTTTTTAGCAACCAGGACGTTAGAGTTACTTCCTCCCTCAAACCAAGAAGGTTCTTGTCTGACTCTTACTTTTTAAGGGATAACTGTGGCATGGCCAGTATCCTACCTCCTTTAATCATTAGGACTATTAGTTTTGGGTGAGAGAAAATGGGCCCTGTCCATTTTCCACAATGTGGGCCAGAGAGCAAGGGTCAGATTCTCCATGGAGTAGGCTCTTTGTCAATTTAATGTGAGATGATCACTATAATGCACATCGGTTTGTAAAGCACTCTAAGATAGTTATAAATGTCAGCCAGTGGGAACAGTACTGATTGTTGTGGGGATGGTTGTATTCAGGGCCCTGGGGCTGCGAAATTGTTCCAGAATCTGTTTTTATTCAAGAATCTTTAGTTCTTATAGCTGTGGGCTAATGCTGAAAGCATGAACAGAATGTAAACTCAACTAGTGTATACAGTCAACCTGAAACAAAAGCTCAGACATGAATTAGCCTATTTTTTTTTAAAGGGGTAAGTGACAGGTTTCAGAACTATTTCATGCATCATTTTTGAAAAAACACATAGCTATCTATCTATCCCAGCCTTTCTCCCCCCCCCCCCCAGGGCAGCTCTCAGGCCCTCCAATTTCCTACTGCCACCCCTAATGCATTTAGGTATGATCAATGCAAAATCTACAATGTAGTGAAGACAAGATGGAGACAGCATGAGATTGAATTTGAAACTAAAGAGAGGCTACTGTACTGACCAACTCCATATTTAGTTCAATAATACCTCCAAGTTCTAAAACTGCTTGAAATAAGTTTTAGAACTTAAATCCAGTAAAGGACATGGTCAAGCAATTAAAAAATTAATTGTACTGTTAATAAAATACCATTTAAATATTTTTGGATGTTTTCTACATTTTCAAATCTATTTATTTCAACTATAACACAATACAAAGTGTACAGTGCTCACTTTATATTTTTGATTAAATATTTGTACTGTGTAAAACAAGTATTTTTAAATTCACCTAATAGAAGTACAGCAGTGCAATCTCTATCATGAAAATTGAATTTACAAATGTAGAACTATGTACAAAAAAAGCATGGTTTTATATTTGAATGTAAAACTTTACAGCCTACAAGTCCATTCAGACCTACTTCTTGTTCAGCCAATTGCTCAAACATGTTTGTTTACATTTGCAGAAGATAATGCTGCATACTTCGTTAACAATATCACCTGAAAGTGAGAACAGGCATTCACGTGGCACTGTTGTAGCCAGTGTCAAGATATTTATATGCCAAATGCACTAAAGATTCCCATGTCTCTTCATGCTTGAACCACCATTCCAGAGGACATGTGTCCTTGCTGATGATTTCTTCCTGATAATCTAAAGCAGTGAGGCCTGATGCATGTCAATTTTCATCATTTGACTCAGATGCCACCAGCAGAAGGTTGATTTTCTCTTTTGGTGTTCTGTAGTTTCCACATTAGTGTGTTGCTCTTTTAAGACTTCTGAAAGCATGTTCTACACCTTGTCCTGCTCAGACTTTGGAAGGCACTTCAGATTCTTAAACTTTGGGTCAAGTGCTATAGCTATCTTTAGAAATCTCACATTGGTACCTTCTTTGTATTTTGTCAAATTTGCTGTGAAAGTATTCTTAAAATGAATATGTGCTAGGTCATCATCTGAGACTGCTCTACATGAAATATATGGCAGAATGTGAGTAAAACAGAGCAGGAGACATACAATTCTCCTCCAGGGAGTTTGGTCACCAATTATTTAATGTGTGTGGTTTTTTTTTTTTAAATGAATGTCATCAGCATGGAAGCATGACCTCTGGAATGGGGGCTGAAGCATGAAGGGGCATATGAATGTTCAGCATATCTGGCACACACATACCTTGCAATTGTGGCTACAAAAGTGCTATGCAAACACCTGCTCTCACTTTCAGCTGACATTGTAAATAAGAAGCAGGCAGCATAGTCTCCTGTAAATGTAAACAAATGCATTTGTCTTAGCGATTGGCTGAACAAGAAGTAGGACTGATTGGACATCTTTGAGTGCAGTTATGTAACTTGTATGAGATGAATTGAAATACTTGCACTTGTAAAAATAAATAGTATTAGTGAGTACTGTACACTTTATTCTGTGTTGTAACTGAAGTCAATATTTGAAAATGTAGAAAACATCCACTAACTGATTAAAACCAATTTTTTAATCAATTGTGTGAATTAACTGCAATTAATCAACAGCTCTAGTAATCACCCAACTTTCTATTATATATGTGAGTTAATATTCACAGAAGTAGCAACCTGAATGCTGCTTTAAATTTATTTTTAAACCCTGAAGGAAAAGTCAGATTTTAGCAAAGTGTTTTCAAAATTTAAGAAAAATGAAATTTTTGTAAAGTGTTCTGTATTAGCAAAGTGCTGTAATACTTGGTTTGAAAGCTGCATGACAACCTTTAAAAGTGACTAGGCAGTTACTTGTCCAAACTGACCAGAATCTACAGAGATTAAGTGAAAAGTACATTTGATTTTCAAATTTTAGTTCCTTGTCACTTTACAAGAAAACATGCCTCCTTAACATTTCAAGGAAGTTCAGGAAAGGCTACGACCCCACCAATTGGACATCTTTTCTATAAATATAAAATACTAAGCATGCTAACTAGCAAAATGTACCATTCAAGAACGTTGCTTTAATCATTAAGCCATCTACATTTTCAGTCATCTTTATTCATAAAATAAATTTACTGTACAATACACATTCCCAGCCATATGTTCACTTCAAGCATCTGCATTACAAAAATAGTGGGTATGTGATGCAAAGTAGTCACTCCACACAATGTGAAATATATTTAAAACCCTAAAATTGAGTTTGTTTTGGGGATGGATGGGGAGAAATATCAATATATGTAGGTGAAAACTAGGAATAGATAAATTAAAATCGCATTTTGTATTTACAAAGAAGCACTAATCAAGCATTGTTTCATAATAGAGCAACCTTAAGGAATTGCCACAGACTAACAGCTTCCTCTGTTATACAAGCTAGGAAATTACATTTTAAAAAATATAAAATGTGTTCAAGATAAAATTTAAGATGTCTTTGGACACCAGTCAGTAATGGCTAAAGGGAAATTGTCATTTTTACAGCTCTCAAACAGAAATAAAATCTTTCCAAGGCTGATGCAATAAAGAGGCATTCTAAAACATGCATTTTTTTCTAAGTTCCTAAACCAAAAGATAGGATGCTGATTGTGTAGTCACTGTCAAGAAACAGAACAAGTGATCTTTTCAATAATTTTTATGAACTTATTTTGTAAAAAGCAAGATTCCTTGGAAAGTTTGGAGAACTTGATCCACAGTTGTCTGAGTTCTCATCATTACAATGCCTTTTATCACTTCCATAGGAGCAGTTCAGTTATTCCAATGACTAACTTGCATATTTACAATCTTCACCAAGCAAGTTCATACAGATTAAGTCAAATATTAAAAGTAATTAATCTTTTGCTTCAAGGGAGGGGAAGTTACTATGTGAATTATAGTGGGAATTAGTAGCATCTCTCTACCAATGGTTCAATCAGTAACTTTATAAACCCAAGTTTTTCCACAGGCTAATAATTCAGTCTTAAACTTTTATACCATGATACGTTTTAGCCTACAAGGGCTCAAAGAGTTTTGGGTTTTTTTAATTTGAAAAAAATATTGGTTTACATTTACAGTATTTAATCTGATTTATCAAATGAAGCTTGAGTAGCAGAGCAATAGGATTCAAACAACTTTTGCTATGTGAAAGTTTGAGCTGCCAAAGGATTCAGATTTGGCTAGTGCTTGTGTGTATAACAATTTTTGGTGAAGGCTTTTACTATACATATTTGAAGATTTACTTTAAATTATGAATTGTTTTAGATCCTTTACATATTATTTTGTCTGGCAAGCCACACACATCAATTGAGGGTTTTTAACCTCCTTTTCTTATTCAGGGAAGCAATTTGTCAAATTTACACTCAAAAAGGACAAAAAGCAATGCAAGAGTTATTTCCTCAGCTTTTCACTTCACACATATATTGCAGCATATGTAGCCCATCTAGTCTGATTCCAACAGTTTAATTGAGGAGTGCCAACTTTTCATTTCTGCATTTGCCTCAGGACTTAAAGAACTGGCCCTATTTTGCTCAGTGAAGCATGTTAAAAGCACAACTCAATCTATAAATGGAGTTGAAGCAAACTTTAAAAACATTTTTAGTACCTCATGAAAGTGAGGGATTAATAGCACTATTAGAGCCTGCTAGAGTGCCAACTTCCTCTAATGGTTCTTTCAGTATACCTTATTTCAGCTACTTCAGTTTGGGTGTCTCCCAACTGCAGCTTCCCAAGTTGTGATGAACAAACATCGAATTACAGACTAGAAACAGACCAACCTAGTCCTCTACAGTTTTGAAACAAAAGTCTGAACCCTTTCCCCTCTCTAAAGGTGACTGGCTACATAAAGAACTGAGCAAGATGGGAGCAGCTCTTTTAATGTTACTGAAACAATTTAAAAATAGATTCAGTATCTGCAAAATACTTTAACAGAATATTTAGAACTGCACATACGTATGAGCAGAACATACTGTGGATACCTACAGAAAGTACCTTCTAATATTAAATATTATTTACAAGTTGGTTTACAGCTGAGTGCTGATAAAGATTAACAGCATTAGGAATAACAAGACGTGTCATTTTAAATTAGCTATTTCCTGTCATACCAAATGCAAGTGATGATCATATTTTGAACAGGGATTCTTCAGGAGGTCTGTGTTTCCACAGACTTCAACCAGGAATTGGATTAGGCCCTTAGTATTACCAATTCCTGTTGTGAAAGGTAGTTTTGACTATAAAATTTGTTAAAAGAAAAACAGCAACATGGATAGTACATAGGGTCTACCTGTAACTTTAACTACTCTTGGCCAAGGAGACTGATTTCAAGTGTCATGTTATTTAGGAAGGTGTCCTTTTTATGATCAGTAGCTTATACACATTTTCTATATGTGAATGTTTAGCTTGTCATTTGTTTTGAATGGATTAATACAAAATCTCCAATTCCACAACTGCATTGAGAAGCAATTTCCTACAAGAGTTAGGTCTATGGCAATCAACTAATCTGGTGCTAAAAACCTTGATATACTGTACACTGTATAAAGCATTAACCTGAAGTCTGATTTAAGATACAGGAGCTTTCTGGTGCCCTATTCAGTAACAAATGCTTGACAAGTGAACCCTGATACCCTAAGCTGTTAAATGTGCAACAAAGTTTGCTGACTTCACAGAATCTTTAGCTCTTCCTCAGGCTCAGATCACTGCTCGTTACTAATGCTGACAGAGATGTACTCTCCGATACATCTTCTTTCTTGAGATTCAGGAATGATTCTCTGGTGATCTGAAGGATTTCCCTCAGGCCGTTGTTTTCTTGCTAGAACATGCCAAAATAAAAAAAAGAGACACTTAAAATAATTCCCAGTGGAAATCAGGACAAAGAAAATGAAAATAAGATCTATTTGGAAAGGAGATTAATTGTTTGGGATGGAAGAGGAAGAAAGTAGTCTTACATTAACCTGTGATTTGAGAGGGAGGGAATATTTAGAGTTCTATTTTTTGTTGTACTGAACAGATATCTTCAGTATCAAGAAAAGCGTTCAAAGGAAGAAGAAAACTTATTTTTTTAAACAAAGCTTAAATTTAAGCTAAGATTTTTTCCCCCCTCATCCCCAATGGCAAAACACTTATTTAAAACATTTCTCTGTGGCAAAGCATTGTGCAAGCACATAACCAGAAAGCTGCACTGCCTACCCTAAACATTCAAAAAGCGATCCCAAAAATATTTTAAAAAAATCTTTTTTTAAGACAAAGACATGCATGTGGGTTGGAGGCTATTTGCCTTCTGGTTTCTGAACCTTCAGGATACACTCCTGTCACTTTTTAAAGCTTTTGTCTACAACCATGAGGGCTAAAAATTTAATTGTTTAAAAATGAAAGCTGAAACCCTCAATCATTTTTCTAGGAGCTGGAACTTTACATAAAACATCCTATTGCAGGACTCATGGAAAAAAAATCACAAGAGTTGGAAACAGAGCAAAACTGACTAGTCTTATTGTCCAAATAGAGTATAATGCAAACAGGCGCATAAAAATAAATTAGATCAAGCTAATTCAATAACATTACATTTTGATAATTTTGTCATGAGATGAGGTTGTTTTGGGTGGCACTAATATGATGGGAACAACAGGATCGGAAAATGTACATAGAACAGAAGCGGAGACTGAAAACCAAGAATGCAAAGCATCCTTTGCCATGCGGGATAAAAATGGCAATAAGAGTAGAGAAGATTAAGCTTTCTTCTTCAAAATTACTGGCTTTGCAGACTTCATGGTTAGAGGTGATGAATGTTGAAAATAGTTATTTGAATGGTTCATACAGATCTTTAATTAAGCTGAATAGCATAGTATTCTGTAAAGGGCACAAAGAGGCGCCACTGATAAGGCTCTCTCTAGTCTGGACACTGTTGCAGAGAATATAGCATCTAAGGAGACAGATTAGAAGTCAAGGTAGACAACTGGAGCCAAGGAAAATATTTGGACAAGTGTCTCTCAGAATCTAGTGAATGCCCAGAACTTTATGCTCTGGATCCCCTGGGGTGTGTTAAGCTTCTGGAGCCTGAGTGGAGTTCAGCCATTGCCCCAATTTCAGGGCATCTCTCTTCTAACTGGCACCCCTTCTGAGTGTGAACCCACTATCCAGCCACTTACCCCTTCTTAGCTCAGCACTGACTCCCCTGCACTTAAACCCACCCCTTTCCCAGAATGCCACCCAAAAGGTGTGAAGCCTCCAGTTTACAGTGCAGCAGTTGTGATGCATACACACTTACAGTTTACACTTTGTACAGTCTAACACAGGAGTGGGCAATAATTTTCGCAGGAGGGCCACTTCACTAATTTTGGTAAGTCGTCACAGGCCACACGTTTCTACTATATTAATGGAGGGAGTGCGGGGTCTGGGAGGGAGTTTGGTTGTAGTACCTGCGACAGGGGGTTGGAATGCAGGAGAGGGTATGAGGTTCAGGCTCTGGCCAGGAGACGCTTACCACAGGTGGCTCCCGGCCGATGGCGCAGCAGGACTCAGGCAGGCTGCCCACATGCCATGGCCCCACGCCGCTCCCTGAAGCGGCTGCGGCCAGCTGCTGCTGGCACATTTCCATGCACTGCCCACACTCGCAAGCACCACCCCTACAGCTCCCATTGACCAGTTTCCAGCCAATGGGAGCTGTGAGGACGGCCTGGGGGGCGGGGGCAGCGCACAGAGATATGCCAGCAGCAGTCAGCCGCTTCCAGGATTGGCATGGGGCCACGGCAGGCATGCAGCCTGCCTGAGCTCCCCACTGCGCTGCGGGACTTTTAGCAGCCCGGACTCAGAGATCGCGAGGAGGCCGGACAGAAATGTTAGTCATGGAGAGCTGGAAAGTAATGTTAGACGGGCCGGATCTGGCCACGGGCCGTAATTTGCCCACCCCTTGTCCAACACCTTTATCCTCTTTCATACTTAATCCTGTAAAGCACAGGAGAAAACAGACCATGGAAAATAATAAAACATCTTAACAACAATCTCTCTCACTAGCTCACCTTTCTGTTGGAAGTGGTTAAAGAATAATCTGTGTTCTGCAAGGTGGGCAGGGTATCCCCTGCCTCATGCATGCTGTTACAAGGAAAGACTGCAGAAAACAGCCCCCAAGCAGAGACTAGCCTGTGGTCTTTTAAAACCTTCACCATCTGTCAGTTGACACTCATGCCAGCTTCCCTATATGAGCACAAAGTCACTTCCCACCTGCTAAAGCAGTTCTTCAGGGCAGGGACCAGTCTCTTGTCTAGAGTGACTAGATTTCCAGTGAGTGGGTACTTGAGACAACTACTCTCTATTTTTGTTTTGCCACCAGCCTTTGGAATTTGCAACCCTACATGGAGGCAGACAGACCACAGAGAAAGCAAAAGGCTGCATTTTCAAAATAGAGAGTTTGCAGCCTGACACAAATATAGGCTTCATAATCTCAGACAATTCATAAACCGAACAGGCATATTCCCAATTTATCATACCACGATAGCAACAAGGAATTTCACAGTGGCCAAGTAGTGCAACTAGAAGAATAAATAGAGGGGAAAAAGGGAGGGGAGGGGGCAAGGAAAAGGAAATAACGTATTAAAGGCTAATTCCACTGACATAAGAGCATGGTCCCAATGCACTCAATTAAGCCTAGGCATAATATGTAGATAGTATGTAGCCCAATTCTCATATAAGCACTTATTTCAGCAACTCTGCACTTCAAGTACTTGCTTCTGTCACCATGACTAAAAGTGAATAGAGAGAGGAGATGGGCCAAGCAAAATAAATGTTTAATGCCAAAAAAGGATGTAGATTAAAAAAATAGATATATAATAGGTGGTCAAATAAAGAGATAGCTTTAAGTTTGAGCAAACCCTTGTAATGTTGAGCAAGAGAGCATTTCAAAGCTAGAAAGTTCCTCTGCTTTAAAAATACATGCTACATTGTAATTTTATTTCAAAATGTGATAACACTTTAGCGGTGGAGGTGGGAAGAGAAAACCTTGTGGCTGCCATAGCTTCTTTGATGGAATACTTACTTCAAGCTGAAAAATACGCTCCTGCTCTTTGCAACCCTGCTGCTCATCAATTTCAATGGCTCTTCTCATTACTGCTGCCATTTCTGTAATTTGGTCCACATGCACTTGTAGCTCCTAAACCATAAGTGAAATAAAAAGCTTTACCAATATATTCTTTCCTACATTAATAAAAAAGTGAGCATTAACTGCATTTTAACTACTGTGCCAGCTATCAGAAGTTTGAATTCTACAATAATTTAGATCTAGCAGTAAAAAAAGCCCCACAACGTTCACTAATATTACTGTGACATAATTTATCCAGTAAACTTTTAAAAGAAGAAAGTTATCTTAGCAAAAGGCTTCTTCTTCAGTCTCATGCCTATGGAAGTCTGGATCAAGCTTGCTACAGTATCACCAAAACTGACCACATAATCCCTACAGAGGTAATAATGATTTCTTTGCTCTTGTTCATCCCTGATCGTCCTTGCAGTACTACTACTTCCATCTCTGTTTGTGGGATGGTCCAGACAACTTCTAGTTTTTATGAGGTGTCCTTCATCTATGTTTGCACTTTAATCAATCTTTGTTATCTTGCCTGCCCACTAAAAGACACATCTGTTCTTTGGTCCAAATTTTCTATTTTACACCTCACCTGGAAGATTAGTGACCCATTGTCATCTCCCCCACCATGCTGGGGAATTGATTCTGCACCAAGTCAGAGGAATGCATGTCACCCTATACCTACACCATTTTCTGCATCTATTGATTTTGACGTATTCCATTTAAACTCTGCTTTGCTTAGTGTATCTGCTGACATCAAAACAGTATGGCTACACTAAAATCATTCAATAGCATCTGAAAGCCAAATATTAGTTAAACAACAAAGCTCAAACGAATCCCCAAAACGAAGGAATTCCTTGTATATCCCAGGAGGGTTTATATTAAAATAAAGGTGAAATCAAAAGCGTTGTAACTATTTAAGAAGTTGAAATAATGTTTAGGCTTTAATAAGTAAGTTACAAAGTTAATTCCATCTTTAGCTTGCCCCATTGTGCCTACATATTGCAGAGGCTTGAAAAAGCCCATGGTCTTGCTGAATATGCCTGAGCTTCAGGACATCTGCTACAAGAGATTTGGAATTTTCTTTTTTTGGTGGGGGTCACAACAATAATATTCTTCTATTGTTTACTATTTTCAAAAAGGTAAAGTAAAACTAAATAAGATCTGGGGGGGAGGGGGAAAACCCAATTTTAAAATGTACATTCTGATTTGCTGCCAACTGCCTCCTCTCCAGTCCATAATTAAGTGCTTCATGGACACGTTGAGCTGCACTGATGAAAAGGAGTCCTTCAGGGTTGTTACAAGGACACATTTCAATCTCTAGTTTAGAGTCATTACAATGTTAATATGGATGTAAACTTTAAAATTAAAGTATTACAAAAAAAAGTTAAAAGGTGTGCTGTAACCAGTGTTTGAGTTGCAATAGCTCTGTTGTTTGAAGTACTTGGTTGTTTTAAAAGTTACCATATATGGCACTATCCACAGTAAGGATCAAGTGCCTGCAAAATAATTTTTTTTTTAAATGGTCAAACCAGTTTTTAGGAAGTTTAAGATTAAACTGTTCATAGCAGGAAACTGCACGACAAGTTTAAGTTCAGAGCATATTTCTAAAGCATATTTAGACCAGTTTTCACTACTTAACACCATACAGATATTTTTCTGGTATATATGATACTGGTATAAATATTTTCAAATTTCTCTTTGAAAAAAAAATTCAATTGCAGAAAGCAGTGTGGAAAACTTCAGTAGACAAGCGCCAACAGTTGCCACTTGGTAGAACAGCGTTCACTGGAAAAGCAAGATTAATTCCTTGGACACAAAATTTGGAGTAATTATATTCTTAATGCCCATAAGAGATAGACGCTTTTAGACTGCACTTCAAGATTATCCAACATTACTGACTATACAGACTAGTAAGAAGTACAAATGGTGAAATTCCAGGGATCTAGACACATTAAAGTCTCCCCAACAGACATACCAAATGGGATTGAGTTGGACCAAAAAGATCAAAAGGCCCCTGAAATGTCTCTGCTAAAATAATACTTTCCCCAAACAAAATACTCTTGGGATAAATCAGAGGGAGATGTATAGTTTCCTTGCTTAGGACTTAAACTGTTACTGAAACAAAGGCAGTTTCTTTGAATGCTTCTTCATACTTTTCTAGACACAAACTCACTTTATAGTACCTACATTTTTTTAACTCCTAATGTATCTATCGATGTACGTTCTATTTGAAATTCTCTCTTCCACAGAGGGAGTTTTTCTGATTTTTAACCCAAAATGTTAACAGGAAACTCCAAGTAGAAGTGAACTGAGGGAATATCCCACTGTTTTATTCTCAGCGTTTATCTGTGAAGTTACTTAGTTTATTGTGCCATCTTACAAAGGTACAATTTAAATACATGTATTAATTACTTTAAAAAGATGAATTGAACATTGTCACCTTCTGGCAAAGCCTATTAAAAAAGTGAAGAACCAAAATAACATCGGTTAGCTTTAACTAGGAGCTGAATAGCCTCACACTTACATATATATCTCACTGATGGCAGGTTAGAAAAACATTGCCTTTTAGTAACCCTTTACTCTTCTAGCTTTCCAGGATCATCAAGCAGCTCACCCAATATGGACAACTTCCAGATCCACTCAGACATCCTATAATGCACTGGTTACTCCATAGCATCTCTGATTAGTGCTGAAACAGGAAGCCTGCCTGAAGGGGTGGGAGAAGAGAAGAAATATAAGCCTGGTTATTCAATATTCAGAAGGTTCTCTCGAGTTTTTTCAAAACTAGTTTAATACCTTCAGAAAAGCGGTTGAATATTGAATAAAACAAGGCTTACCTTATTGACCCAGCACTGATCACAGAAGCCATTAAAGTCACAAGTGCATGCTCGAACACTGAACTGATCTAAATTATTACTGGAGACTATGATAGCCAAAAGTCCAATATGGCACAGCTGCCTCTCCCTTCCCCCCACCCCAGGTCTACAAGAGGAAAAAGAGAATTATGGAAATGTAGTAATGAAATGCTTTTTGATAAATGCCTAAACACACATCACAAGCATCTAGTAAGATTGATCTGTTAGTCTGAACAAGCTTCCTGTCCATGTTTAAGTAGGCTATGCTATAAAACTTGGGAATTGCTAATGCACTTTCTAATATAAAATGACATTTGCTCAATTATCTTATTATATTGACACATGATTACAAGTTAGAATTTAAAAAAAAAAAAAGTTACCTTGGAATGTTGCTCTTTTAACTTCGTTATTATACCTGGATCGTCCTTTTTGCTGGCCATGAGCAGCCTAAACATCTGCTCTCTGTATTTGCTCATTATGAGTTCCAAAGCAGACTGATGTTCTTCGAGAGATGTACGTAGTTCTACCAAAACAATTAAAAATTGCTTCAAGACTTGCATGCAAAAATACTTCATTTGAGAAAACTAATACAAGCTCTTAGACACCACCAAACAAAGTCTGCATAGCGCTTGCGCTGAGAAGTTCTCCCACAGCCAGAACCTATAGAGTCCCTTTATGCTACTCCAGCCCTTTTAACTGGAGTCAAGTGGTCAGAGAAAAGAGTGAGGATCTCACTCCTAGAGCTCCACTTAAAACACCCAGTGCAGAGTCCATCTGGAAGTTACTTAGGTTACTGTTTTGATCTGTAACTCTGCAGAGTTTGTCGGACTTTAAACATGAGCAAAACTTTGTTTTGAGATACAATATTTTGTGATTCTTCAGTATATAGCACCAGCAGTTAATTTTCCCAAAACAAAGCTTTTCTGCACCAAAGGCTCAAAGCAATTAACCATTACAAAATTAATAAAGGGAGTGCAATTGTACTTAGTAAGCAGGGCTGATCTTTGAATTTCTAGTGCCGTACAGAAGGGTAGATAACTTCCTATGTGAGACAAGAGAATGGTGAATATGAATCTGTAAGTGCCCCCTTGTTTAGAGTACCCCAAAATCATCAAGTCAGAAGATATTTCATTAGACTAATTTTTTAAAAAGAAATAGAAGCCTCCCCTGTACATAAATAAGTTATTTTCTTAACAGTTAACATATACAGATAGACATATTCTGTATAGTAACAGTGAATAATAGTCAAGTCACAGGATAAATAAGAGCTATAAGACCTATAGAAAATTACCAGCAAAACTACATTTTAAAAATCTCAAAGGAAAAATAGTATGCCTGAATTGTTTTTTTGTTCACCATTGTAATAAAGATGCCAAATCTCCAAATGTCTACACAACCAGTGTATATGACTGATTATACTAGAACAGCAGTTCTCAAACTGTGGGTCACGACCCCAAAGTGGGTCACGACCCCATTTTAATGGTGTCACCAGGGCTGGCTTAGACTTGCTGGGACCCGGGACTGAAGCCAAAGCCTGAGGGCTTTAGCCTGCGTGGTGGGGCTCAGGTTACAGGTGCCTGCCCCAGGGCTGAATCCCTTTGGCTTCAGCTTTGATCCTCCTGCCTGGAGCAATGGGGCTCGGGCTTCGGTCCCCCCTCCTCAGGCCGTGTAGTAATTTTTGTTGTCGGAAGGGGGTCGTGGTGCTATGAAGTTTGAGAACCCCTGTACTAGAAGAATTTAAGATTAGAAGAAAAATTTCTTAGGATATGATCCTACATCCATTGAAGTCAATGACAAAACTCCCACTAATTTCAGTGGAGCAGGATCAGATCCTTAAAGAAGAAAATATTAAGCTTCACCTTTATTTTCCTGTTGCAGTTCTCTGATCTGCCTGTTTTCCTGCTGGATACCCATTACTAATGTAGATCGAGGCCGATGTCTTGCTACCTCATTAAGCTCTTGAATTTCTTCTTGGTACTAGTAGAATTAAACAGATTTAAAAAAAAATGTGTGTAAATGAAGGCAAGCAGGTGTATTAGTCCCGACTGACTAATTTCAAAGTTAGAACCTGACCAATATTAAATAGCCCTTTTGATACACTACATATTATTAATTAACAATCATTTAAAGACCATTAACAATAGGGCTACCATATGTCCGGATTTCCCCAGACATGTCTGGCTTTTCAATCTATAAATAGCCGTCCGGGGGGATTTCTAAAAAAGTCCCCCCAGTTGGCTATTTATAGATCGAAAAGTGGCGCCACTCAGCAGCCAAAGCCCCTTCTTGGCTCCCTCCATCCCCTGCAGCCTTAGCACGCCCCCAGCCCCGCAGCTGTCTTCCCCCTCCTCTGAATGCTCCGCCCCCCTGTTCCTCCCCCTCACCTGCTTCCCGCGAATCAGATCTTCGCAGGAAGTCTGAAAAGAAGCAGGGGCAGGCTGGGTGGGAGGGACGCCAGGAGGAGGGCTCCAGGGAGGCGCGGCGCAGCCCAGTCCAGGCCCGGCCGAGCACCTCCGGCCCCGGCCAGCCCCAGCAGCTCCAGCCCGGCTCGGCTTGGGCCCCGGGGCACTGGCCCCAGTTCCGGCCGAGCGGCACCGGCCGAGCACCCCCGGCCCCAGCAGCTCCGGTTCCGGCCGAGCGCGCCGGCCCTGACCCCAGCGGGTCCTGTCAGGGGGCATGGGTGTCCCGGGGGTCTGTCTGGGGGCGGGGGTGTGAATATGGGGTGGGGGTGTGGATAAGGGTCAGGGCAGTCAGGGGACAGGTAGGGTCCTAGGGGAGCAGTTAGGGTGGGGGGTTCTCAGGAGGGGGCAGTCAGGGGACAAAAAGCAGGGAGGCTTAGATAGGGGGTGGGGTCCTAGGGGGCAATTAGTGGCAGGGGTACCAGGAAGGGGTAGTCAGGGGACAAGGAACGGGGGGGTTGGGGGTTCTGAGGGGGGCAGTCAGGGGGTGGGAAGTGGGAGGGAGTGGATGGGGGCAGGGCAGGGGCGGGGCTCCCCCCCTCCGCCATGTCCTCTTTTTTGATTGTGCAAATATGGTAACCCTAATTAACAAGAGCTAACTTTTAACAAATAATCTTATGTCTGAAGGTTCTGCTGACCATTATAATTCCCCTGAGATGCAACATTTACTTCACAACTTTAAATAAAGATAACCCATTTATTAGTTTTTCTACTTTACTGAAATTGTTAACATGACAGGATGGGTCTCCCAAACATAGATACCACAGAGCCTTTATCACCACCGACCCACCCACAGAATCTAGTAATATCAATTGGTTAATATAACAGCAGAAAGGAAATTTTTACCCACTCAAAATAAGCTGAACAGGCTACTTTGTCACAGAAGAAAATCTAAAGATGAGATGAGAATATTCATGCAAGGGAAAACAAGAGATTGTTCTTATGTAAGTCTCTATACAAAAATTTATTAGCTGAGATGTGCAAAATTAAGCAAAAATATTAAGCTACTTTTAATTACTTCATAGAAGAGCAGCACATGGACACAAAGTGCCATAATAAATCATAAAACCCAATCCTACAGACACCGGACCATGCTTAACTTTAAGCATGTACATGTTTGCAGGAAGAACAGGAGTACTTGTGGCACCTTAGAGACTAACAATGCTCCTGTTTGCAGGAGGGGGTCATAGTAACCGACAAGTAATTTGTTTGTAGAATCATAATTACTAGAGACAAGAGACCTATTGGATCATAGATTTCATCCCAATCCCCATGAGATCACCAGGAGGTCCTGGATATTAAACAGATAATGCACTATACTGTAGGAGTCGAGAATATTTAAACCAGTTTTAAATAGCAATGTCTGAAGGGTTTTCAAAGTGTCTTTTTAAGTGAGTAAGCAAAATGGGAAAACAAACCTGCTTCATCGCTTCCACCCGCTTGTTGAGAGCTGTAGTCTGTTCAATAAGAGCTTCTGCTGCATTGTCATGTTCTCTTAGTCGCTCTACTAGTGCTTTAGCATCAGCTAGGGCTTTCTCAATTGTGCAACTCATTTCTAAAAAAATAAATTTAATTATTTCCAAGACAAGGATAATTTATCATGCATCTGTATCACCACCATGTCATAATGAAAACACATCAAATGTGTTTTCATTAACTCAGAAGCAGTCAGATACAGTCTTTCCCTCATCCCCAAATAAGGAGAAACATCTTCACATTGCAGGAACTATTTTCTCCTGGGGAACAAGGAAACTCTGCATCCCTCATGGAACCCTGAGGCCCCCATTTCCTTCACCACCTTTAATCCCCCAAATTCACTACAGCCAAGAGCTGAAACTTTTGCAATTACAAAAAGTTATGTCACATTAACTGAAATTAAAGACACCTAATTAAAGGCTATCAAAAATACAGGAATAGCACTTTCCCCCTTTATTTACACTTCAACCAGATTACTGCAGCTAATTTCCTGGCAATCTTAATATTGGAACACTATGTTCAAAGGACATCCAGAGAGTTCTGTTTCTGAGACTTAAATTTATCCCATAAAATTCAGTAAGACAGGGCAGAGATGGAACCATAGGTTATTCGCTATTCTGAAAGTGGAATAGCTGGAATTTAATATGGAACGAGAAGGAAAACTAGAGCAAAGAAAAGAGGGGCAGATGTGTTCAGAGCATAAAGGGAAAGGTGATGCTGGCACCTTCATTTTGGACTATTGTTTTGGCTCGTTCCTCCAGAAGGTATTACAGCAGTCAATGTGAGACATGAGGACCAACTTCTTGCAAAGAAGGATAAGCAGGAAGGATAGAATTCTGGAGGAGTTGAAGAGACAGTGGTGTGACTTGCAATAGCCTTTTTGGGAAGTGTATATGAAAAGAGGAAAATCAAAAATTATTTCTAAATTTGGTTACCGAAGAGATCATGGTGTTGAAGCTAAATAAATAAATAAATAAATAAAGTTGTGTCATTCCCCCCATATATTTTAAGGTCCCAGTGATGTATTTGAGAGAGGGGAAATCTAGAACTGATGCTGAAAGGCTAGGAATAAAGGTACATTTTTATGAATCTTGAGTGTTGAGGTGACCACTAACTGGGCAAGAGGATATCAACCAGGGAAAAATTTGGAGGTCCAGAATAATTATTTTTATCTATGTTTAAAAACGGCTCCAGCTACCACTGCATGCAGTATACTTTCCTCACGTCAAAATATGGACTTTTTAACTGAACTGAGTAACACATCAATTTAGGACACAAAATGAACATACGGAAATCAATTAAAACTTCATGATCTAACATTACAGCCACTGTGACCAGGCCCTCTCTCTGGCTAAAGTAGCAAAACTGTATATATTCAAATTTGAAAAACATTGGCCTTATGAGATTTTATACCCTTAGTCTTGGTACTCAGATTATATTTGGTTTCTTATTTGGAGATTTTGATGCAATCTCTTCAGTCATTTTTGAGTTCAGAGTATGGAGGAAAACCCACACACTTCTTCCATTAAAAAAAAACCTGCTCATGCTTTTGAGCAGTAAAAAGAGCTACAGTAAAAAGACAGCAAGAGTTTGAAACTCGGCATAATAGTAGCCCTCAATGAAGAGTAGGGTTTTTATTTGCCTTGGGGAAAATTATAAACTATTAAAATAATAACTTCTGAGCACGCTTACCGAACACTTGCCAAGGGGGAGATTTTCAAAAGCACAAGAGATCATTTAGGTGCCAAACTTCCCTGAAAAAGTCAATAAGAGTTGGGAGCTTAACTCCCTTAAGCCCCTTTGAAAAATCACAGCCAAGATTTTAAGCAGATCCTAATGAAGCCCCTATTTCACTACTGATTATTCTGACAGACTAGTCCAGGGTGTGCTGGTTAAGAGGGAGAATGGTTCAATGAATCAAACATTTACACGTGAAGCAAAATCATCCCCATTCCTGCCTTACTATAATCAGGAGGGGGAAAAAAAGAGAATAATTTTATGATTGCTCAACAGTGTTCCAGCATTTTAAGAATATGATGCAAATCTAATTCTGCAAAGATTTTGATATCTATTTAAATTACACAGCAGTTTTAATTTGATTAATCTGACCGGAGACTCCCTCTCTGCCCTGAATACAACATGTAATATACAAACGTGTTTACTTTTGTATTTATGTAAAGGTAGCCAGGTGCCTTTTCAGGGATCCCATTGGTAGAGAATGGAAAAAAGCTTGTTTATTCAGCAAGTAAGCTTCACTTAAAAACTGGCAGATGCAGGCTGGCTGTAAATGGCTTTTAACACTACAAACATTTACAGGAAATGAGTGCATCTTTAACAGTTAATCTTGTGGGTTAATCTTGTTCGTTTGCAGTACCTAGCCAAATTCTTCAGAATTGTGTGTGTTACCAGATACAATCAGATTGATTTGTTTTGTCTTAATCGGGCTGATATTAGGGGTTTTTATTTAATGAATATTAATGGAGAGTTGGCTCATATGTTTTTCCCCCCACTTCCAATCTGTGTTCTTGTTCTTTCTAGGTGAGAACACTTACAACAACAAACACAAAAAGTTTGGCCACACAGGCTGGCAAAACTGTGATAGAAGCAAGGTTAGCCAGAACCATATTTAGATAGTTTAAAAATTGTTCTTTAATTTATTTTCCAGCCCAGGTGTGAATGGAGCCTCACACCTTACAGTAGAAACATTTTTTGCAGTCTATATTGGAGCTTATATATCCTTAACTTTGATTCGTCTACACCATTACTGGACTTTTCAGTGCTGACGCACCTTTCTAGGCAAATAATCAATTTTGCCCTTCCTACATTGCAGTAAAAAGCCTCTTTGTAGCAGAACCAGCAAGGTTCTGAATTACAGTGAATGACTCAAGAAAGCCTGTGAAATGAAACCACACATCCTGCATAAACATAGCTCTGGGGGACTTCTTGTGCACAGCTGACATTTAGGGGCAAGTCCAGGAGAAATACAGCAACATATGTCCCACCAAAAATAGTGGGAGCCCAGGTGGTGCAGAAGATACTCCCAGTTCTGATGTTAGTGGGAGCAATTTGTAATGCCATATGTGTAAAACAGCTGAAAGTGCCTGAGAAAGTAAAAATTGGACAGTAACAGACTGAACCTGGTTCAGATTCCAAACATAGTGAACTTTCAACTATACTTGTGGCTGCTTCCATCACATCACACTGACTGTACATTCATTTTAGTTTTCAGAGTGACACACAGACAGACAGACATACTCAGAACCATAAGCCAGGAACCCACTAGGCTGGGCACTGTACAATCATAAAAAAAAAAAAAAGGATAATCCCTACACCAGAGAGTTTATGAGACTTTCTACTCAGCAGTTTGGGTTGTGCTTTGGAAAAATCATTTTTAACTTGAGCAGAGATGTGACCAGTCTATCTACAGAGTTGGGAATACATCACTGAATCTATATATCTGGAAGGTTTTCTTTGCAACCATTAGGGCAATTCACTTAATACTTACAATCTTAGATTCTATAACAACTGTAGCCTCCCTCCTCCCCCAAGGAAATGCATCTAAATGGCAAGTGGATAGGTCAAGCCAGGCCTTTTCACGGATTTCAGAAATGTCAGGGTTAGCACAGAGCAAGATCAACAGCTCTGACAGCACAGCAATACAGCCACCTACGTGCTCACTTCTTGCCACTTCCTGTCGTTAACTAATTACTTTGAATCTTATCAAACTCAGTTGCCTTAAAAACATACTAACCGCCCCCTACACACACACACACACAACCTTCCTGTGTCTTTCTGCCCTTCTCCATCTCTGCTAAAAACCTCTCTGCCCGGTTTGTTTCTCTTAATTTCTCTCCCTTTTGATGATTAATTTTCTAACACGGAACAGTTTTACCATACGGAGCTTGGGCAAAGAGGCAAAGGCACGTCTGGGCGAGCACTGCACGCAACCTCTCATGTAAAACACAGAGCGAGCAGCATCCATCCATCCCCCTTTCTACATTTATCACGCAAATCCCTCCGCGCCTGACGGCAAAATATTTAAGCGATGCCGCGGTGTGTTTGGGACCGTAGCCGCGGGGGGTGTGGTGCAGGGGTGCTTGGCCAGGGCGGGCTGCCCCAGCCTGACGTCGGCAGGAGAACGGCTCCAGTTGCCACACAGGCGCGTGCCCGACAGGGCTGTTTGGGTGCCGCAGCGTCGCGCGCCGGGCGGCACAGGAAGGCGGGCGGCAGCGCCCGATAGTGTTACCTCACGGCAGCGGCACGTATCGCGATAGTAAGGGCGCTCGCGGGTGGACGAGGCCCTCTCTGGCTAACGTTCCGCGGGCACGGCCACAAGCGCCCGAACGGCACAAACGCCTCCTCCCCCGGCAGAGCACAGCGCCCCCAGCCCCGCTCCCTGGAGCCCTCCCCCGGCGTCAGGGGGGCCCCGACTCACTCATAGCCGGTGGCTCCGGCAGCGCTAGGCGCCGGGAGCGGGCGGAGGCCGCCGCTTCAAATCTCGGCGAGTGCGGGGGGAGGCGCCAGGCCGAGGAGAGACCCCATGAGGGGGGGAGCGAGACACTCCACAACCACAGCTACCCGCCGGGGAGCAGAGGCTGGTGGGAACAGAGACCAGATATCGCGAGACTTCCAGCCCGTTCCACCTGCTCGGCTTGTGGTAAAGTGTCACAGCCAAATATCGCGAGAATGTCAGTTTCTCTTGCGAGCCCCTTGGGAAGTGCCGCGAGAGGCTCTACGGGCGGTGGGTGTGTGGTGTCCGAGTCTCGCGATATCACTGTGGTTACGGTAGCCAGGCACGGGCATGGGGAGTGAATGACCCAGGCCGGGGGGATCACTGTGGCCAGGCCCGGGGCAGCGGCGACGGGCCCCGGGCTACGGGCTTAAGCGGCAGCTTCAGGATATCGGAGCCTGAGGGGTGAGCGGAGCGGGGAGCCGGCCCCGCGGGTGCCGGGGCCGAAGCGCGGCCCAGCGTGAGGGGCGGGCTGTGGGGCAGCAGCGGCAGGAGGGGGATGGAGGGAACCAGGCCGCCGCGCCGCCCTCTCGTCCCGGTGTAAAGCCCAAGTGCGCCTGCGCGCTCCCTGGGAGGGCAGAGGCCGCCCCAGACGGCGCTTCTCCAGCAGAGGATCAGGCAAAAGTAAGAGACACCCCCCCCCCTTCCCCCGCGCCCTGTGTGTGTCTCCCAGGAAGTGGGACTCGTGGGTTCTCTTCCCGGCTCTGCCACTGGCTCTTCCGGCTCCCTCCACTAATGCTGGGCCCAAGTCTTCTTCGCACGGCGCTGGAAGAGGTTACGGTCTGTCTGTGCTCGTATTTAACCTGTTTCTTAACATCCGGGCAGTGCGCCTATTGCTGAGATCATCTACCGAGCTCGCTCGTGTGAATAAGCCTTTAGAGGCTGCAAGAAGAAAACCTCACGTGAAGGTGGAGCACGGTATGACCCTAGGCCGAAAAACATGCTTGTTTATTTCCAGGGGGAAACAAACCCAGCGTGTGTGTGGTTTGCTTGGTTCCTTCATTATTTATTTATTTATTTTTAAACTGCATTGTCATTCAAACTTTGTTTGCAGTGGTGATATAGTCGTGTTGGTTCCAGGATATGAGAGACACGGTGGCTGAGATAATATCTTTTATGGGACTGATTTCTGTTGGTGACCAAGACAAGCTTCAAACTTCAGGTCTGGCAAGAAGAGCTCTAGGTAAGCTCAAAAACGTGTCACTTTCATCAACAGAAGTTGGTCTGACAAAGATATTACTTCGACCACCTACCATTCTAAAGTTTTTACATAAACATATTTGAATTATTTTAATTCTAAAAACATTCTAACGTCAAACTGTGAATGAAAACGTTTCCTGTTTTTAAAAGGGATACAATAAGAACATCAGTGTTCCTAATGGGTGTAACAGGAAAGCTCTAAAATTTAGAATGCTTGAGGGGAATAGGATTGGAAGGAATATTTGGAGTGTGACATGAATAGTGTGTGGGACCAGCTATTTTAAATTGGATAGGGATTTGCTAACTATTAGTGAGGCTCGGTTTACTGGAATACAAAAATTTCTGTTAGGTGGGGAATGCATCTGATAACTTTGTTCTATATAACATTGGCTAGTTCATATTTTTAAGTCATAAGTGCTGAATTCAATAAGTGGTTTCTTGTTTTTCATTGTAAGCGTAGTATATTTGAATTCTGCAGGTCAGTGCTGCGCATAATGAATGGTGATTATTAAACTGCCACCGAACATCAGGGTATGAATTTTTCTGACTTAGTGTACCTAGAGTTGAAGAAAATGGTAAGAAATAAGTGATTCAGTGGACTGAAGTTATGAAAACAGATTGTCAGTAGTTAAAACAATGTTTACATTTTATTTTAAGTAGAATGATTTGTGCTCATTCTAAAAAATGCAGAAAGTGAGTTTCTTTTAGATCTCCAAGCTCAAATGCGCTATTGAACAACAACAACAAAATTCTAGTGGAAAAACAGAACATTGACTGCATGGATGGTTCTGAAAAATGCCATCTTCAACACTGAGCATATCACGGCATTTCACCAGGTCTTTAACATTGGCTTAATTCTGAAGAGAAAACTTAAAAATGATTCAGAGTCTGTGAAACCTTTCCATTACTTAACTGGCATGAGTTAAGTTAATGGAACTTTACTCCCAAATACAGAGATCCTAGGTTGAGCCCAGAATATGAAGAAACATTGTTGGTAGAACATAATCTTGAGTTCCTTCTCTTCTGGCACTTAAAAGTTGAACATCTTGATTTCTACCTTAAATTTGTGTTTGTGTCACATCCAAATGGTGTGAGAACTGTGGTAGTAAAATCACAGGGGACTGTACAGTTGAATTCAGAGTTTTGTCAGTTTTTAAAAGACCTCTTCTCCTGTCTGGTCAGCATCGATCAAGAATACTTTTAACTCATTTGGAATGGTTCATAATAGGAGGTTCTGAAAAACATAACTGTATGTAAGGACAGATACAAAAGCTTGGTAGTCTTAAATAGGTCATAGAATGGGGACTGAATTCTTTGGTTTACTTATAGCAGGGGTCAGCAACGTTTGGTACGCGGCTCGCCAGGGTAAGCACCCTGGTGGGCTGGGCCAGTTTTATTTACCTGCTGATGTGGCAGGTTTGGCCGATCGCGGCCCCCACTGGCCGCGGTTCGCCGTCCCGGGCCACTGGGGGCGGCAAGAAGCCGCGGCCAGCACATCGCTCTCCTGCACCACTTTCCGCCGCCCCCATTGGCCCGCGATCGGCCGAACCTGCCACGTCAGCAGGTAAATAAAACTGGCCTGGCCCACCAGGGTGCTTACTCTGGCGAGCCGCGTGCCAAACGTTGCTGACCCCTGACTTATAGAATAGCAACTTTAGACAATTGTGTTCCTTTTAATGTTTGAAATTTGTTTGGAAGCACAGCTATAATACTGTTTGCATCCACATTCAACCTGGTTACAAATAGTGTCTTAGCTGTGTTTAGAAACTGTCCAAAAATTCTGATGCTGATGTTGGGGAGACTACAGTAGGGTTTCTGCTAGCAATGTTTTGTTTAAATAGTTCTCCATGTTGAACAGGGAAATAACATTCTGATGCATGACAATTTTGAAAGGACACAGGTAACTTAATCTCTAATTTCAAATAATGAGTTTAAAATAGTTTCAGGTAATAGATTTGTGCCCCCAAGTTTCCATGCCAATTTTTAACTTTGCAATCGCATTTTCCTATTCTTTAAAATGCTTTTCTTTCCTATTGCTGTGTGAAAGATCCATACGAACAAAAGGGAAATCTCTGTCTGCAGAGGTGGAAGAGAAACTGACAATCCACAAAATGCTGTCAAATGCACAAACTAACAAACTGTAAAAGAAAAGTTTCTTTGCTCTTAAAAACTGTTTGTCTTAAGTACCACCACCCAAGATTACTTACTATAAGTGGTTAAAAAAACAAAACACAAAAGACCATACAGATGAGTGGTTTTTTTAAAAGTTGAAATAGCTAGCACAAGTTAGCATAATTTCTGGTGTGAAAATCATGTATTGAGAGAGCTAAATTTGGTTGACTGAATTTGCTTTGCTATGTGTGCTGAGCGCTGTGCTTACAAATACCATGAACTACTTTAGAGAGACAAGGTGGGAAAGATCATATCTTTTATTTGACCAACTTCTGTTGGTAAAAGAGAGACAAACTTTCAAGCTACACAGAGCTCTTCTTCAGGTCACTGCAATGAACTACTTTGGCTGCTGAAAAATTGCTTACTGCTCTGTAATTTGTTATTTTCAGACATAATATTTTAAGGTATATTTTTAAATATACAAGCAAAAAACTTGACTGCTTACTAATTTCATTTTTAATCCTTATGTGAGGATGAACTGCAAAAAAGTAATACCTATTTATTATTTGCTTTCTCTATCACATTCACTTCAGTTTTTTTCCCTTTCTGGGGAAAGTAGCTTCTTCCTGGGCAGGGATTGTGCATTACTAGTTTTTAGTTCAGAAGGATTTTCTTTTTAAATACCAACCATAAGTAAGGCAAACAAACAATGAAAATATGTATTTATGGTGGAAATATTTGTGCATCTTTAACTAAAATCTTACCAAGAGCAGCTCTCTAATAAAGTTAATATTTGTAGTACAAATTTAAATAAAATAACACTAAACATCTTCAGAGGCTTAAAGTTCATATAGTGGTCTTTTCTTGTTGCTTTGTAAGTTTTTTGTCTAATTTCAGGATTTATTCATTTCAGGAGGAAAATGAAAATTTTCTCGGAGTCCCATAAAACTGTTTTTGTTGTGGATCACTGCCCGTATATGGCAGAATCATGTAGACAACATGTTGAGTTTGACATGTTAGTAAAGAATCGAACCCAAGGAATCATACCTCTGGCACCCATATCAAAATCACTGTGGACCTGCTCGGTGGAATCATCTATGGAATACTGTAGAATAATGTATGATATTTTTCCTTTCAAAAAACTGGTAAGTGCTTCTAAGAGTACTGCTTATTGTAGAGATTCTCATTTTAATGGGTACTCTTTTAAAATTATTTTTGGATGCTGTCAGATAGAAAAGTAGGCATCTTAGATTAAAAACAGTGGAACCTTTAAAATTGAATTTTTCACCATTTAAGCTTTTGCATTACCCTTTTCACTTAGTTGAGCAATGAAAATAGTTTCATTTTAGTTTATGAGCATTTTCACTTTCTGGTTATCTGCTCTATCTCATTGCTTTGGTTGCAAACCCTGTGGGTGAGTTTTTTAAATCTATACCAACTGTACTAATATTAATAATTATTATTTGACATACATTTAAACATTAAATCATTTCTTTTGATCTCAGTTTTTTTGTAATCCAAATTTTAACGCTACACAGACTTGGATATAACTTTTGTAAAATTTGATGAAAAAATAAGAAAAACATAAAATACTTGGTATTACTAGGAAAATGTCATCTTAGAGGAGAAACTCACTTTCCTCTTTTATTTAATCATTCACATAATTAGTCACAGATGTCTCCAAGTTAGTATGGAGTGGTACTTAATGGGATAACGGTAAAAGCAAGGCATATCTGACTCTGTTGCTGAAATGACAGTAAAATGTACTGCCCTCTCGGTCTATTGTTCGTATGCAGGATTGATTGGTACACCTCTACCCCGATATAACGCGTTATATCAGGTCCAGTGCGGCATACCGGCAAGAGCCGGTACGCCGTGCTGGACTGGACCAGCTTCCCCGGCCGTGATTTAAAGGGCCCAGGGCTCCAGCCGCTGCGGGGAGCCCCGAGCCCTTTAAATCCCCGGCGGAGCTCCGGCAGCGGGGCTCAGGCAGGGATTTAAAGGGCCCGGGGCTCCCCGCAGTGGCTGGAACACCGGGCCCTTTAAGTTGCCACTCGAGCCTGGCTGCCAGAGCCCCAGCGGCTATTTAAAGGGCCTCTGGCAGCGGGGCTTGGGCGGGGATTTAAAGGGCCCGGGGCTCCCCGCAGTGGCTGGAGCCTCTGGCCCTTTAAATCAGCACCCGAGCCCAGCTGCCGGAGCCCCGGGGCCCCACACTGCCTTACCGCGTTATATCCATATTCTTGTTATATCGGGTCGCGTTCTATCGGAGTAGAGGTGTATTATAGGAGACAGTTCCTTGTGGCTTCATGCTTTAGCCCTGCTTTCTGTAATGCTGGTCTTCCACTTTTGGGGACAGAGAAAAATGCAGTCTTGCTGAGGGATTGATAATGTGTTATGATCCATTTATCTTGCTGTAAAAAGCTAGTCTTCATTCAGAGTCTTTTTAAATAATACAAAGTACATCAAACACAGAATTGGAGCAGCCTTTTTGTTCTCAAATTCATTTATTTTGTTTTGGAGTTAAACTGATATGTTTTGGACAAAACTAAGGAGTACATAGTGGATCACTTAGTCTGTTTTTCTTTTGGCATGCATTTGAGACCTCTCCATCCCTTTGAGACCAAACAAGTCACACCTGTGATTTATGGTTCCTTTTCTTCACTAACCTGGAAATCAGAAATCCTAAGGGGGCTCCTTGGTGCATGCTTGGCATCACATCTAGCTGCCATAATCCACTGTGCCCAGCATGACTCTCATTTGTATCTTGGTAGTATATTTAACAAATTCTGAGACTTGGGTTTTTTAGGTGCCTACACTTTGGTACATAAATGAAAGAGAATCACTGTGTTAATGAGAAAAGGAACTGTGAATTGCAATCAAAGATAACTTACTTGAAAACATTATAAATATAGGAACTTTTTTTAACATAACACAGGCAATGTATATTTGTAAGAAAAATAAGTTTAAAGTAAGTTATTAAAGAAATTAAAAGTGAAAGATTTTACAGAGCGCAATTTTTTTATCTTTTTTGTTTTGTAGAGTAAGCACTGTGCCTCTTAATTAACACATCACAATTAATTATAAGATTTAGAATGCCAGATTTGTCATTGGGCCCATTTGTGACCCTTTTAACTGTTGTTGTAATGTTGTTCCACTCCTTTCTGTCCTAAATGTGTTGAATTCTTTTGTAGCTCTTTGCAGTGCCAATTTAATGGAGTGGCAGTTCTGCTATTAAGAGTAAATTGTAATTTGCACCAATTCAGCAAAGCATTTAAGCATGTACTTAAGTCCCATGATGGAGATTACATTGAAGTCAATGGGACTTAAGTACATGCTTAAATGCTTTATGACCCTTCACTGCAAATGTTCATACTCATAGATTAGATAAAGTTATCTTCATATCTCACTAGGGTATTTACCTCAATGATCTCCTTTGATAGCAAATTCTACTCAATGATTAAGTGCCATGTTTAATTAAATAACAGAATAAATACATCTGTGCTCAGTGATAACTATTGCTAATGAAAATATAACTGAGATACTAAGGGAGTTGCTCCATTTTTTTCTCCTGTTAGTCTTGCAATGGTAACAGCAGTGTTAACAGTCAAAATCCACTTGTTGTTTATACTCTACTAACACACAAGAGATGAAGTCCGTTTTAATAATGACTTTCTAAAAAGATAATTAAGTGTACATGAACATTTTTTCTGTGTCATCACAGCACTTCTAAATGCTTGATCTTTGCTTAAAATAAAAAGGAGATATTATGTTAGTCTGGATTTAGCACAATTGTTATAACCTGTGGGCACAAGTTAGTTTGATGTAAAAATAACATGAGGTTTGAGTGACCTATAAAGATAATACTCCGGCACTCTGGCCTTTTATAGGTAGAGCCCTGCAAATCCGTGGATATGCACTTTATATCCGTGGACCATTTTTGACAGCTCATGGCTTGGATGCAGGGCTCTAGCAATCTCCCCACAGAAATCAGGGTGACGCTGTAACAGATGGGATGGGGGCAAGGCAGACGCTCTGGCCCCAACAGCAGGTATGGGGTGGAGGAGGTGGGAATGGAGCTCTGACTGCAGCACACACTCTTCCAAATGGAGCGTCTGTCAGCCAGCCCTCAGGCTCCCGCTCAGCTCTTTGAATCCTGCAGCAGGGGGCTGCGATATGTCGCAATAGCCCGCTGAGCATTCTGGTGGTTGTAGTGCCTGGCTTGCTTAGACTTGCTTAAAGTACAATTCCCAAAAGGGAGCATGACCAGTTGCTCCTGCGCAGTGAGCCAAGTGCCATTTTGAAAGAGGTGTCGTTGTACTTTAAACTAGCAGGCAGCAACGACGGGTGCTATGAGGAGAGTAATTGTTGCCCCGTCTGTCCTGGCCAGGTCTGCATTTATTAGAGCTGACGTGGCTGCGCAGCGATTTCCAAGCCCCGTACTGGGAGGGCGGCACCACACACGAGGGCCCAGGATTGTAGCCTCTCTGTCCAGAGTTGGGGAAGGAGGTGCAGCGAGGGCAGAGTGGGAGGTGGGGCAGGAGATCTCTGGGGAGAAGTGGGGGGGGGCAATTGGGGACTTGGCACAGGCCTGTGTCACTGGTACGTGGTGACCCATGGAGCTGCTAGTAGAGCCCTGCTAAGCTGCGGATTTCCACATTATATCCACGGATGCAGTTATCCGCAGACCATTTTTGCGGATTGTCTGTAGATAAAAATTTTGTATCCATGCAAGGCTCTATTTATGGGCATGTGAGAATTTATTGTATAAGAAAGAATACATTACTGTGACCTTAAAATTTGCTTTGTAACCTTTTAGGTGAATTTCATTGTGAGTGATTCCGGGGCTCATATCTTAAATTCCTGGACCCAAGAAGACCAAAATTTGCAGGAGGTATGATTAGTATTTGATACCTCTATTTATTTTGTGAGGCTAGTTTAAATTAATTACAGTGAAAGAATATGCTTTCTTAGTATATTCAGTAGGCAGCATTTTATCATGGTATGACATATCAATGTTTTTAGTTTTTAGTCTTGTATATTTTGTCTGAGAATAATAATTGGAAAGTGTTAAATTGATTCATTTGTTTGAAAGAGAATTCTGGATTTAGCAAGATTGTATGTTTCTCACAGAATAAGGTTTTGTGTGTGTGCAGTTCCATTACTTTTCATCTTAAGATAATGGTTTAAATAGAGACAACAACTTTTAGCTTTCTTGTGTCAATTTTAATTTTATTTGCGTATTCTTACAAATCTAGATGAAACTAGCTCCTCTTTTAAACTCACTTAAAAGAAACACCAAATAAAAATTCATTATTCATCCTTTAAAATCACAATCATCTAACTATAACAAAGGAAAATAGGCAAGAGCTGTAAAATTCTCTTTATTGCAAAAAGTTTCAAAATAATCTTGTAAAGAAATTCACTAAAACACAGTGGGAATACAAAGGGAAAAAAGGTAGTAATTTAAAGACAAAATTAAAAGGTACTCCATCACAGGTTGACTTCTCTGTAGTACCTCCTGCAGGGCCAGGGATGGTATTGTAAGCACTCCCTGCATTAGTCTATAACACTGGTTCTCAACCAGGGGTCATATACCCCTGGGGGTACTTAGAAGTCTTCCAGGGGGTATCAACTCATCCAGATATTTGCCTAATTTTACAACAGGCTACATAAAAAGTACTAGTGAAGTCAGTACAAACTAAAATTTCATACAGACAGTGATTTGTTTATACTGCTTTATATACTGTACATTGAAATGTAAGTACAATATTTATATTCCAATTGATTTATTTTATCATTCTATGGTAAAAATGACAATGTAAGCAATTTTTCAGTAACAGTATGCTGTGACACTTTTTTGTATTTTTATGTCTGATTTTGTAAGCAAGTAGTTTTTAAGTGAGGTGAAACTTGGGGATACGCAAGACAAATCAGATTCCTGCAAGGGGTACAGTACTCTGGAAAGGTTGAGAACCACTGGTCTATAAATTGTGGTCATCTGCTTGGAGTAGGGAGGTCTGTGCCGTAAGCTCAGGGTCAGTCTCAAAAAAGTTGACAGATTCAAAATTTGTCTATTTTTATTTCTCTGGCCAAGGCAAGCACTTGAAAGCAAGGCCCTTACCTGGCCCTGGGGTTCTGGGAGGGCACCAAGTAACTCCTCTTTCCCAGTCTCACCTTAACTGGCCTGCTGTCTCCCAATTGGTCAGTGTCTCCTGCTGGTCCTTTTAAGCATCTGGAGGAGTAAGTCTTGTAGGTAGCCCAGTTTGAGAAGGGGGTTGTCAGGTTGTTGACACCTCCAGCTTTGGGGCAGAGAATGCCTAATAGGTGCTATCACATAGTCCGTTTGCATTTTGACTGGAGCTGGTTAGAGATTTTCTGATGGAACAGTTTTTCATTGGAAAATAATAATTTGATAGATCTGCAGAAACAAGTTGATTCTGTCAAAATTTGGTTGTAAACCTGCAAACCAGGCTAGTTTCCTGCAAGCTTATCCCCTCCCTCCTCTGGGAGGCTGGGGTTCACAGGGCTTCCTGACTTCAAATCAGCCTGTCTAGTGGGCTGCCCTGGAACCAGGGCTTCTAGGTAGCCTGCCGGGCAGGCTACTTCAGAGTGTGGGTCCCAGAGCTTTCAGGGAGCCTGGGATCTAGGGGATCATATTTCATGTTGGAATCACCAAAATGTTCCCCTTGAGATGAACATTTTGGTTTCCAAAGCAAAATAAAACTCCCAGTTGCATGAAAAATTGAAGTTTGGGCCAAAAAATTTCCTGTTTCCTGGCCTGCTCTAATTTTAATGTCTGAAGTAAACTATCAGAGGTCTAATTTTACCATCAGAAACAGCAAATGATCATAGTCTTGGTAAGAAAGAACTATCAAGAATATCTTTGTCAGGACCTACATAAAAATCTTAATTCAGATGAGCCTCTTTTTGGTGCTAATTATATTAGTGAAATAATAAAAAATATGTTTTCAGCCCAAAAGAAGTAGCTTTCAGAAAACTAGAAGTGTGTAATAAAGGAAGATAATTGAAATGGTTTTGCAACTTTAGGAACATAACAGCCATACTGGGTCTGGCCAGTGATCCATCTAGTTCTGACAGTGGCTGGTGCCTGATGATTCAAAGGGAATGAACAGAACAGGGCAATTTCAAGTGATCCATCCACTGTTGTCCAGTCCCAGCTTCTGGCAGTTAGAGGCTTAGGGATACTCAGAACATGGGGTTGTGCCTTGGCTACTAGCTAGGGCCTTACCAAATTCATTGTCCATTTTTGTAAATGTCATGCTCATAACATTTTAAACATCTTGAATTTCACGGTTTTAATATTAATCTTAAATTTCACAGTGTTGTAACAAAGCATGAATGTGTATTTATAGACAGCAAAATATAAACATGTAAAGCCCTTAAGTAAGCATTCTCAACCTGGGGATCCCAACCCATGAGGGGGGCGCAAGGCTATCATAAAGGAGATCACAGTATTGCCACCCTTACTTCTGCACTGTTTTTAGAATTGCGTGGCTGGAAAGTGGTGGCTGCTGGCCAGGGGCCCAGCTCCACAGGCAGTGCAGAAATAAGGATAGCAGTGCACCATATCGTGCCACCCTTACTTCTGCGCTGCTGCTGGGGGCGGAGAGTTTAGGGCTAAATATTTAGCCCAGCAAGTTGGTTATGGGTCAAAATCAATTGAATATTGAAAATAGAGCACTAATTTTTTTCCCCCTGACAATGTTAATGTGTATGTAGAATAAATTTCAGAGTAGCA